ATCTAGTAATTTCTTCAGTTAACGGAACTGAGTTATACACTAAGAAACAAACATAGTATAAAAAGTGAAAAGTAGTATCATTATACGTTTAAGAAAGTTGTCCGTTTATGTAAAGGCTCTATCTTAAAATTTGCAATACTATAAGGAGGAAAGGAAAAAATTAAGATCTACTATATATACAATAATCAAGAAGTGTCGATAATTGAAGCTTGCAATAATTGAGGTGTTACTATATTTAAAAATAATTTATTAACTAAAATTTATGGTTGAAACTTATTTTTTCTTGTTTTTGATCAAAAACGTATATCTTACTTATATATTCTTAAAAAAAGTCTAAAAATATTAGTTCATATTTTAAAAGAAGCTAATGCTCTTAACCAAAACCGGACAAGGCTATGCCACCCTAATGAGGTCTTTTGTGACGTTTGTTCAAATCTCTATAGACAATATAGAATAATATTTTAAACGTAATAGTTTTAATTACGCATCGTGTACATAATTTAAAAACACTATTTCATAGAAATTAGTAATAAAAGCATGACCTTTTTTTAGACTCATAATAAGACATATTATTATATTATTTTCTCTATTAAATTTTGGTCGTACGACTGTTTCCTGTGCTGATAAGATAAGCATTTGGTATTTTCCAATAACATTCTATATATTATTTTATGATTTTTTATTGTTAAATTACTCATACCCAATTTTTTAATCATGTGAAAGAAAATTTAACAAGTGCTTATGGAATTGTAAAAATTGAAAAAAAAAAGATAAAGATATCTGTAATATTTCGAGTATAATATATGCAATGTAAGTTATGGTGGCACACTTTAAAAAAATTGGGCAGCATAGGGCACCTTGACACTCACTTATTCATTTCGCTGGCAAAGCACGCACCAACAGCGTGACCGCCACTTGTAAATTTCTACAAATGCATACAAAGTTAATTTACATTGATAAATATATGCTAGTATATATGTATATATATTTATAAATTACAAATATATAAAGACTTAAAACATTTCCCGCTATAATACAAAGAAAATCTCTATACAAAGACAGCGTATCTATCGAACACAATGTGTGACTTTTCAATAGATTTTCACAAATTTACTTAATTATTTACTTTGTAATGAATTATGCCCATGCATTGTTGAAGTTGGAACGTGGGTACAAATTACAATTCTTGCCAGACACAAATCGCCGAACCTTGTAAGTAACTCCATGCGATAGTGATAGTGATACTGGCCAGACATCAGACTTATGATAATATTTTTGATTTTTATAAATACACTTAGAAAAAAAACTCAATCTGTTAAGTGATTTAAGTGCCTGTGCCCATGATAATTTTTTTTCAGTTTTAGTGTTAAATGCGTAATTATTTTAGTTTAAATTTTTTAGCTATTTTTAAGTTATCTTAGACTATTATGTGTTAGTAGTTTGTGTAGCACTATAAATAATCACTACATCGTCTAAAAATATATCAAATTTTTATTAATTCTTGTAATCTTAAAATTTTCACAAACGTAAAAAAAATTCTATTACGTAGAAAAGAATGACATCAAGAATTTCATATTCTTCTGCTTAGTATTATTGATCACTATTAACGAAAAAACCAGTATGAGAATATCATAATAAAATACATTGTTTTACAGTATAAAGGGTTTTTCAGTGCTCCAATTTCGATAGATAATTTCTTAATTTAAGTAAGAAAACATAGCGTATCTTTATAGGAACTTCCATTTTTCCAAATTAAGTCCAACTTTGAGCAACCATAATTTGTCTGAATAGACTCATTGTACTCGGTCAATCAAATATTTCTCAATTCATTTTGCCTCATTTTCATCGATATATTTGTCATACTGACGGGATACTGTCTTATAAACAGACATACCAACATTGGATTCTTTCCAAAGTATATTATATTGCGGTATATTATTTTTTATAAAGGGGTTTTCAGTGTCCCAATTTTGATAGATAATAACTTGGTCCAAGAAACTAAACATATCGTAACTTTATAGGAAGTTCCATTTTTCCAAATTAAAATCAACTTTGAGAAATCATAATTTAAGTAAATAGATTTCAAGATCCTGAGAGTTTTTAGTTACATTTTTTTTTCGAATTCAGAGTTCTATGACTCATTGTATCTGGTCTTGTTCATCTCATTTTTGTCAATATAGTTGCCATACTGACGGGATACTATCATATCAACAGGCATACCAATATAGAATTCTTTTCAACAATCTGTTTATGTTCTCTCATCTTCAACTGTTTGTATGGTATCATAAGTATAGTAAATACAATTTTTTTTTAACGTTTTAGATCTAAAAAAAAACTATAATTATCTACTTGTGTTGTGTTATTAGTACTTCGAGACAGTTAAAGATTTATTATAGTATATAAAAACCGTTTTCATTAAATTTCATACTCTGCGAAAGACCTGCATTGCTAATAATCAAGTTATTTCTCTTCTTGAATTTAATTTGAATTCTTTAGCAATAATTGCCTGGCCCCTTTTGTTGTCTTATCAAAGCAAAATATCTACAATTTTTTTTGTCTTTTGCCTAAGTTTTTACTTCTTCTAATATTTAAAAAGGTTTCAGGTGTCGGCGATATCCAAAATTAAAACCACCAAAAAAAGCGAACGACAATATCGACGACTTCATGTGTTGTATGTTGTCTGATTTTCGAAATGAACAAGTTTCCTACTTAAGTTTTGCATCGCATTTGCATAAAAATTGGTTTTACCAAGTCCAAAAAAACCGAACGATACAAAAATAAAAGTCAATAGATATTATAAAAATAGAAACAGAAATAGAAAAATTCAAATCATAATTTATAACATTGAAACATCATTTTGGCACTTTTCAAAGACCGACAAATTTGTTAAAGCCGTTAAGGTGCCTTGAAGTTGGCGTGTGTTTCTAACCAAACAACAGTCAGAATTTTTTTTTTCGGTGGTTACGCCATTTTGCGGAAGTCTCATACCAGGCAGACTCGAAGACGACTTTTGACATCTTTTATTGGTAATCTTTGTTTAAACTTTTTATATTTGGAACGTGTAGCGATGGCGTTAGACCGGTTAGTTTTGATTATAATATCGATATTGTGATTTTGATATATGCTTAATTAATTTTTATGACTTTGTGTTTGTCTACAAAGATAAAATGTGCTGGCATGAATTAATTAATGATTTCTATTTATTATTAATCTTTTTAGAAACTGTCTGCGCAGAATTGCACGCCACGACGAACTACAATTCTCCAAAGATAGCATTGTAAATATGATGGAGAAATTTGTCAAAACTGTAAATATAATGGATGACACAATCTTGGTTCCATGCAGGCTCATGGATCGACAGGTTAGTCTGATTATTACAATAATATATATTCCATTCATATTATCAAGCTTACTTCAACTCTCATATTATTCGAAAAGTTAGTTCAACTATAAAAATAGTTGCTTAACACAGACTTGTCAAAGAGTTTATATATGTACATCTGTTGCGGTATTATAATCAAGGTCTATATAATGTACCCAGCTTAAAAATTATATTTTGACTTGTGAAGTTGTGGGGCTAAAGTTGTATAAGTCATAGTTCGAAATATCGCTTTCCATAGTTCAGTTTCAATTATAATAATTATATATACATATATTTATATATATTTTATATTATATAACATATATATATATATATATATTTTTATATATAAAATAATTATATTATTATGAATAAAGCCTTAATTTAGATGTGGTTTAATGTGTTCCATTAAATCTACAAAGTAGTAAAAATAAATATGATTAATTTAATTGACGTGAAATTGACTCAGTGATCTGTTTTATAAAAGAAGTCTAAATATTCAATTATAAGTAAGCATCAGACATGGCGACTGGTATGCACTTAAAATCAAGTCAGAAATATATTTCCATAATAGTTGGTAATGGATATTTGAAAGTAAATGAAACGAAACAGTTGTCATAAAACAGTTGTTGGTCCGACAATATTTTACATACAAAAAATCAGTTTTTCCACTTAACTTGTTTATAGTTGTAGAAATTATAATATAATTCCCTAATTTAATTGTTGAGCAAATATTAAACATTTTATAAAATCTTGTCCACCTTGTTAATTTGAGAATACTAAGTCAAGACAAAGAAAGCTATTTGTTCATAAAATCTGGATCAGCTTTAATCAATCTTCAAAAGCTGAAAGTTAAATAGAACGGTCATCTATAAGTAACTCCTCTGGACATGAGTCGGTTTTAGTAAGGCAGCTAAGTCCACCATTCAGATCCTCTAAAAATTCAAAAACATCACACTTAGAAAGATTTATATAACTAGCTGGTGTATAAAAAACTCATCTTTATAATTCTATTTCATGTTTATTTTAAAGATAAATCTTTGCCTTTATCACCATTATCAAGTGAATGAAGGTTTGCAAGTCGATGTTCTTCAGAACAATAGATTATTATTCAATAAATTTTAATGTTCGCTAGGAAAAAGTCAAGCTACAAAAAGAATATATGTGGATATTTGTTTGGTATACTTTAATTAATCTATATATATAAGGGATTTCACAAAAAAAGTGAGATAGCATGTCTGGTTTTTCTAGTTTAAATCAAAAGACATGATCTGAGAGAATGAAGTTAATGTATCAGTTATTACCTACTCTTTTTCTATTTCCAAAGAACTGACTTAAATATAGTTTAGAAATTCTTTAACACTCTTTACATTTCAAATATCGGAATCAAATATCAATAAATCTGAAAGTACAGCTTAAAGAATATAATACATTATTGTAGGATATAAGGATATATACAGGCTTACTGTTGTGCAGCACACGATTACGGTATATACTCGGACTATAGACTATATTAGTCAATTTCTGTAGTCATTGACTGTGTGCCTTGATCGTTAAACAACATTCGGAGTTGTACACTATTGACCGACTGTAGTTTAATTGTGCGTTGATCATTAGTCTGTCTATCTGGAAGTTACTGTTTCAGTTTTTGAGGTATTTCTATGAAATTTTGCATATGGGGTTCCAAGCAAATAAAAGCGATGTATTTTAGGTAGTAAGGAAAGGACCATGTTAGGTAGCAACAAAGCATAATAACTACCAATATTGGGTTTATATTTATAAATACGTATCTGTTTTCAATTTGACATTAAAAAATTTAGTTAGTAAATAATTGTTTTAAAACAGTTATAGTATAGTAAAAATGCGCGGAAACCAAAAGTATCCTACATTGTTTTTAAGGTTTCATATCCCGTTTTTATTAGATTTATAAATCTTTTAAATAGCTAATATTGGTTATCTATAATACTATAGGTAATATATTAATTTTACTATAGATGGCGATGACATTTGTAACAAGCTTGTTAAGACCTCTACGTCAACTTAAAAAAAAAATTGAAAATTGATCACAGCTTTTCACTTTCATTATTTAATTTATTAGATTACTTATTAGATATTTAATTATTAGATGTATTAGATAATTTTATATTTGTATGCGATGGAAAGCGTTTTTAATGTAGTTTAAATAACTTTTTATTAATTTGAAGAATCCGGTTGCTTAATGATGTAATATGTAGACTTTACTTTCTTTCTTAAAGTACTGAAATTTGTTTAAAAACAGTTTTAATGCGAAAACCATGAAAAAAATCGGTTATAGATACATTACACTCTATGTTTTCATGATACTCTAAAATCTTCAATCAGAGGAGGTCAAAAAACGTGCAAAGCACCCGTTAGTAATTCAAAAGCACATAACAAGTTTTATATATAATATATTCAGAAATTAGTACCATTTTTTTTGTTAAGTACATATCTTTATTAAACCAATTGCTTTATCTATAAAAATATATCTTTGCTCTTAAAAACTTTTTTAAAACAATTTCATTTTTTTAATTTTTTTTTGTTTTTGTCTTTTTTTAATTTTAGGTTGGTGACAGCAGTGATATTATACCAGCACCTGGTAAAGACTCAACTTCGAATCAACATACTTTCAATTCAATTACTAACGGAAAACGCAGTGTTGCACAATCTAAAAATGTACATGAATTCTTGACATCATCGGAGCTCTTCAATTTGTACAATATGCTGAATTCCTTGAAAAATGATCTTTTATGGACTGGTAAAGACAATAGCGAAGAAGAGGAAGATCCAATAACTAATGTTCAAAATAAAATAAATGAACTCAATAAGGGCGCTAGACTCAGCCCAGAGTCAGAGCCAAAGACTGATAACTCAAATACAGAAGTAGCTACAAATGCCACCAATACCACAACAACAGTCGCAAGTACAACAATCACAAAAGGTCATATACGTCGCCCTTCAACCGCTTCTGTAACGTCAACAGCTTCAGGTAGTAATATCAGCGATTCGGAAAGTGAAGTTTCAAATGAAAATGATTCTGGTGTTGAATCAGAAGTAAATAAAGCCAGTTCAATTAGCAGCAGTGAAGATTTATGCGCACAGAAAAAGAAGGCCGCAAATGCAGATAAAGCTACCGAACTTGCGCAACGTTGTAAAAGACATTTAAATGGTCTCTATCAATGTCTAGAACAAATGACAGAGGCGGCAAATTATTTAACCGCCAGATACCAAAGTGATATTGGACCCGTCTAGGGACCAACTTTTATAATGGGCGGGATCAAAATGTGGGTTTCTACGGTAATAGGGAAGGTGGGAAGAAAATGTAAGAAAGCAGATATAATTTTGTGTAGGGTAAGATCGTAGTTAGCCATTAGGTAAGATCTATAACGATGAAAAAATACAAAGTATAAAAAAAAAATCAAAAAAAATAAAAAAAAATGTATGTAATTTAAGTGGAAAAATGTTAATTGTTTCTGTATTTGTGTTTGTAAACACTATTCAAGCCTTTGTCATATAAAACTTGCGTTAAAATCAAAGGTCAAAGCACAGCACAATTAGCACTTGTTGTAAGAAAAAGCTTAGAAAACAGCAGTAACGATAACAAGTTTATCCAGCATAAATACTACATCACAAAAAAAAAAACAAAAACAATAAAAATGATATAAAATTTTTGCCTTGTTTTATCATTTTTATTAAAGCCAAAGTCAGAGTCTCGTCTTTGAGCAGCATTAATTGGCGCAGATTATAGTACAAGTTTCGAAGTCTCAGCAAATATCAGTTAGAACGTGCGCCACATACACTTAACTGATTTGAGAAAAAGACTGACAATGACACTTTTTACTGCTTTTAATGCGCACATCAACAATGAGACAACAACCTCTAAAAATATTCTATCTGCGCCGTTAGACTGCTCAACTCAACCGATAAAGTACAATAGTGCAACATACCGATACCGATACCGATACCACTACTGAAGAAACCTCCGCACACTTATTTAACTGTATTTCAAATAGCATTCCTTGTGGTTCTTGAGAACGTAGTGGTAACACTGATTTAAAATTACTTCTAATAGACCAAGAGAAAAAGATAAAGACTTCGGAATTTATCAAAGCCACAACTAGAATCACTATAAGTAGTATCATCAGCAATTTAGAAACTCTCTAAATCTAAATCTAAATCTTAGTTTATAATATATTAAGCCTTATCGATAACTAAGCAAAATGTTAAAAATTAGTGTAATTTGGTCAAGTGTTTGTAATTAAGGGACAAAGCGTTATCAAAATCAAAGAAAAACTGTTATTGTTAATTATTTCTATTATGAAATTTGTTTATTTTTTACTACATATTTACATACATAATACGTAATTGTGTAATTGCTTTCTATTTTGAATGAAACTTAAAGAACAATAAAGCTTTTTCACAATATAAATAATAGTAATAATAATATTAATTAATTAATTATAAAGAAATGAAATTTCTTTGCAATAATTGAACTCAGTTTAAGCTTATTGGATGTTATATGAAATAAATATAATTCCATTAGAAGCCACACCCATATGTGAACAATATTTGTGCTTTGTTACCGGGTGAGGAATACTAATTTCAAGCCACAATTTGTATAAATATATATAACAATATATAATAATTTTTGGTTAAATATTAAGTTACGAAGAGATCAAATTTTAAGTCACTATGCTAAAGAAACTGTTGTACTTTTTATTTTTATTTTTGTATCTATTGGATGTACATATATATTAATGAGATGGAATTATATTTCATAATGTAAATTAAATATAATTTTATTTAAAAATAAAATATAATTAATATCTTATTCAATTTTGTTGTTATTTTTTTTTGTTTTTAAATTTCATTTGAGGTCAAAATATAACTTACACAACATAAATTTTTACTGAAAGTGTGTCATATCAGCAAACTGTAGTATTAAATTCTACAGAAATTTAACCGGTGTGCTCTATTCTATATTTAAAAAAATAATATGACTTTTAAGACTGAACTTTTAAAAGTCATGTACTACTGGTTTTTTTTTCAGATCTACTTCACTATACTTACGAGTTTTTATTAAAACTAATAATGGCAAAAAATATTATAAAAAATTTAATTACTACATATTAGTTTTATATATGTATTTTCATTTATTTATAAACTATCAGTAGTTATTCAGTACATAAGATAACATGTTAATATTCAAACATACTTGTAGCTATGTCTATTACTGCTGCTATTATCCACCTTCCCCAGTGGGACATAGGACCTCAATAATTCTTCTAAATCTGATTCTATTTGATGCTTCTCTGTAGCTGTCGTTCCATGTATATCGTGCTTTAGCTAGCTCAGTTTTTACCGTTTTTCTCCACGTGTTCACTAGCGCACCAGGTGTTCTGCTATCTTGTGGGTTCCATACCAACGCTTGCTATGTAATCTTCCGGCTGTCTAAGGGTATGGCTTGTCCACTTCTACTTTAGGCGTTTATTTGATATTCAAACTGACCACCTTATTTTCAGAACTCTACGCAGACACTTACATCTTTCAGTCTATGTATCTGTATTGCTTCCATGTTTCACAGTCGTAGTACAAAATAGATTTCACGTAGCTATTTCTAATGAATATATACTAGGATTTCAAGAGCACCATCTATGTTTAATTAAGAATTGAGTTAACCCAAATAATTGTTCAACATTTACAAAAAGATTTTTAAACGCTCATTTGTAATTTTTGTGGGTGATTAATAGGCGTAAATTATACACTAGAACTACAAATATAACGGGACTCGTAAGAAACTGTTGAATTTTGATTTTTGTTGTAAATGTGGAGGAAATTATAGATGATTTGCCATAAACTGAGATATTTCTTAGGGTCGATGTTTAATATTGGGTTTGATCTTGCATGTGCTTTTATGTTGTCTTCTTTACTATGCGTCGTACCACAACTACATTACACTGGCTAAAATTTGGCAAAATTTTTGTACATATTTTGACTTCTTCACTAACTCTTATAAATTTTTGTTTGCTGATTAAATTTGAAAATAACACAGTTGGAAACAGATCAATATGTCATCGAAGACCTCTGCAAGACAAAGAGACATACATAACGACCGATCGATCGAAATGTTTCGGTTTTTCTATTTTACAGTTTTTAATTTAATTAATAATTTTTCACAAAGCACTTGAAACAACATATTACCTGGAAGCAATACCGTTTTTAGGAAAAGAATTGTAGTATTTGTTCTTTGCTCGTTTTCATTTCTTGTGGTCTGCGATCATTTTTAAATTTTATTATAGGATTTTATAATCGAATTTCTGTATATTTTATTTTATATATTTTGTTAATCGGAAGCACGCACTCAACGTTATTATCTGTTTAGACACTGAGTCGATCTTATCACTGAACCTGTTTAAAAATATTTCTAAATAAATTCATTTTTAACAATCGAAAAGTATGTGTCTTTGCGAATTATTTGAATGCAAACTCTTCACAATTTAGAATCATTCACATAATTTTCAACTGATGACTTAATATAATATCTGTGGGATTTATAAAACCCCAGACTTGAGTCTTCTGGTTTTTAATTGTCGATGCTTCTTTTTTGTGTGAATTTCTCTGATAAATCTACGGTTTGAATGTAGTTCATGATATTAATTGAATTTTGATGTGATATTTGGTTACCATTAAAAGAAATGGGAGAAATGTCACCTCTTTGAAGAGCAAGTATAACGATTCGGTATCGCACACTAACAATTGAGTAAAAGTTGGCTTGAAATGTCTGATGGGTAGTACATATTGGTCACCGATTTAAGGAGAAAATAAGATAGCTTTGTGGCCTTTGTTCAACTTTAAATATCCAAAACTTGACAACACCCTTACTTTACATAAATTAAAACTGTTCCTTATATAGTTATCAGAGAATAGCAAAGTCCTTAACTTCATATTTTTTTAATACAATATAATAACCGCCTATAAATAAGAACTGTTAAATGATAAATAGAAAAAAATGACTACAACTTGTTCCATTGAAGCAAAAAATTATGTTATTGACCCCATGAAATACATACGAGTATAGATATTGTCTTAAACAGCTCTTCGACAATAAAACCTATTTCCATACGATTTGTTTGTGTATCTGCTATGAGTATTGAGTAATTATGAATAATTTGATAACTTCATTTTTATCAATATAACGATTATTGGAATCTAATCTTTAAAAAATGCTATTAAATATTTATCGAAATGTCAACAAATTTTTTAATTTATTCTTATAGCTTAATTATTATACATCAAGCTCTATTATATATAATAGAAAAATAGATATATAATATAATTTTAAACAATTCCTTTTTTTTGAAAATGATCATTAAACATTTAGTTAAGTGTTTGAAATTGGTTAACTAGATCTCATAGCTAGCTACAACATAAAAATTATAATCAGAATATATATCTCAAATATTTTTAATTAATATTATTTTCTTTTGTTAAATGTTAGTATATATGTCATATTGCCACTATACTATTTCTTACCTAGAATATGAATGTGATTATTTATATTCACTTCAAGTAATTATAGTTTTGAAATAACAATAATGAATATGGACATAATATACTTTAAAAGTGACATCATAACTTGCAGAAAACTATCTACGACCGACTTATATCTTTACTTGAAAAGATTTGTTCAGGATCCAATTGTTACTATGGTATACTCAAAAAGACTTAGTCTATTTATTCCATAGCTTTATGGCGTTTTTACCTCTGCATAATTGTTGTCTGTAATGTTGTTATTATATATACAACGTTCTTGCTATTATACTATGTTCAGACAGCCAAATTTCCTTAATTTCGTAAAAATGAAAGTAAGTTAATTTCGAAAGTGTTCATACTGCTCCAAATTAAGGCAATCATATGTGTTTTGTTTACAAATCGAATGTTAAAAATTACATGCTCTAAATACGATTTATACCTGGAAAATTATTAGGAAATTAGGAAGTTGATTATTATAACTAAAAAGAATGGTATTCAGTAGTTTTATTAGCTTCAGTGAATTTCAGATATGTGAATTATTATTTTTCACTCTACTTTAAATTAATAATAGTTACAGTTTTTTCTCTATATTCAAATTTAAAAATTTGCACTACTTTTAAAATATTTTCCCGATTTTATTAAAATCAACTGTCACTGACATTTATTTTAAAAAAATGTCACGTTTTCGTTATCTCAACTCATCTTTTCCTTATAATTTATCTTTCGCGTAGTTGCATCCTTCGTTCGTTCTAATCTTAAAACTGAATTTTGTATGCGAAATTAAGATGTGTCTGAACATTATTAAAAAAAAAGAAGATTTTGAGCACTGTGACCAAAAGATCTATTGTGCCCCTTACTTGGGTTAGAGTGTTTCTTCAAGTCCGATTTCTTTAATGAAAGACAGTGTAGAGCCTATCTTTCCTAGTCTTGAATCTTTATGATCCATGAAATACCCTTCTAGGTGTTTCTTCCGCTTGTGCATCAGTGTCGGGCATTCCCCAAGCACATGGTATACAATTTCTCTCGTGTCTGAACATAGTAGTATAGTCCAGGGATGGCTAAAACAACGGCACTTGTTAATTAATGTTTTTATTGTAGAATAATTGTAA